TAGGTCTAGTTAAAATATTTAATTAACCTAAAGATGGTCAGTTTAAAGCTGCTTTTAAAACAACACAATATTCTGAAATAACCTTCAACACTGTAGAAACATTAAGATTGTAGAGAGCCACCATTTATTTTTCACATTGCTCGTTATAATCAATAAAAAGGTTTTTTGTTTTTTTCCCTGTGTAAACGAGGTGGTAATTCAGTGTTGCTGGTTTGCGTGCATTATCAAGTATGATTTTCTGATGTACAAGCGTGCTGATGATTTGTCTTGTACATCTCTTGTTTGTAAACATTACAAAGACTTTTCAAACTATAAAAATATGTCGCCACTCTTCCCAAATCCATGAAAAAAGTACAGTATTCCTCTTAGTTAGATTAGTAGTATAGTAGTCAACACATTAAATATTATAATTTGATTATCTAAATATAAAAATGTATATTAGTGTTACTGACAGTGTATTATACAGTGTTTCACCTTGTACAGTGCTCCTGTCCCTGAAGACTACATTAGGAAATGATAAGAAAGCTAGATTTCAGGCTACGTTGAAGACTAAAAGTCATACCAAATGTTGACTTTTCAAAATGATTAACACTGTACAAACTGTTTTTGCCTGTCTTTGTCCCTCAGGACTTTTACATAGTACTGTAAATGCAAATAAAAAAAGGTTCTGGTGGTATATTTTTATATATTTTAGGTTTTTTTTAATACATATTTTTTTTATTCCACATTGACGAAAAAAGAGCTCTTTTCCCTATATGTAATCTTTTCCTTTGTTTCTTACTTTCTTTCTTACTTTCTTTCTCTGTTTCTTTCTTCCCCCTGTTTTCCTGTTCTTATTTTGGTTTACTGCACTTTCTTTCCTCCCTCAGTCATCACTCATGAGCGTGGTAATTATGCCTTCTGCCATTTTCTTGTGTGTTGGTTGGCCTCTCTCGCTCTCTCTCTCTCACACATACACACACACACGCACGCACGCACACACACATGTTGTGTCAGTTCTGTCCAGGTCCTGAGTGTGGACCTCTAAGGATGTCCTAAACCTGCTCAGTGCTTGAAGCATTTTTTTTTTGCTTCAACTATTCTAGAGGTAGCCAGTTATTACCAAAGTCCTCTTGGTGCTTTTTATAATACCTCTGGGTCTGTAACTGATCTTTGTAGAAGATCTGTATTGAAGATACATAAATATTACTCCCCTTGTAATTTTAAGGTAAAATGTATCTTGTCATTCTTTTTAACAATAAGCAAACTCAGTATGATACTTTGATGAAGAGTTTTAGAATTAAAAAATAAATAAAAAGAAAAGAAAAGAAAATCAAGACAAGGCGGAAGTGGTGGAATCACAGTCTTCCTGCCACAACCTGCTGACCTATGGCTCCCCCTCATGATTTGTACAGTGTCTGGCACATTGTGAAAATTAGAAAATGACTAGTAGTCCCCCCCAGCACAGCACACCTCCATCTGCCACCCACACCCCCGAATCTTACAGTTAAACTTATGTCAGCTGATTGTTGTGTCTCAGTACTGGAGATTGTATTGTGCTGGTTGTTAATTGTTGTGAATTGTACAACTCCCCTCTGTGTTCTCAGCCACAGTTTCTGTCTGTTTCTGGCATTCAGGGCTGCAATGAATAGATTGAATATGTCTAACCAGATATCAAATAAAATTGTAGACTAGACCTCTATTAAAGTTGCACACATTAAGATTTTAGAATAAGGTATTGTATGTCTAGTGAAAGGTGTCACGGGTCATCATAAACCTACAGACTGTTATCAGTAATTTAACACAAACAATGCCGCTGCTTTCAGCTCAACATGTGTTAAAGCATCGTTCAGCTCCCTGCTTTGGTCTGAAGCTTTACAGTTTTAAACATTAACATTCACCAGGTCACCCAGCAATTAGGGATAGGGTTAATTTCATTTTAGTCATGTGGTAAACAAACCTTTCAATTCTCTTGTTTTTTTCACCTCACAGTTCTGATATAAGATTTTAAAAAGGTTACATGTATATAGTTGTTAAAAAGAAAGTACGCCCCCTTTGAATGCAAAGATCATAATTGTCCTTATCAGGTTCTAAAATGATTAAATGCAACCTCAGATGGCATATTGAATGATGTCATTTATTTAACACACTTTAAGACAAAATGCAGAAGCAGCGTGTGATTATTGGATCTGCAAAAACTGACAAGAAATAACCAGAAAAGTCCAACCATGGCAATTCAATCAGAATGGATTCTGGACTTTGACTGGGCCATTGCAAAACCTTGATAGTTTTGTTTTTTAGCTGTTCTCTTGTAGATTTGCTAATGTACTTTACTCATTAACCCATTCCATTGGCCCTGTTTGGGCTGTTGAACAGAAGGCCTCCCAAATATTTGACTCGAGAATAGTGGTATACAGAGGAGTTCATGTTGTCTGCAAGGTGCGCTGGTCCTGTGGCTGCTAAACAAGCCCCTTCACCACTGTGCCTATAGTAGTTGGTATGAAGCGTTTGTGTCGACATGTTGTTTGGTTTCGCCAGGTGTGCATTATGGACTGACATCTCCAGTTTGGCCTTGCATGCCTTAAAAACATTCGGCCTCATTTACAACAGTGTGTATTCAGAAATCAGTGATTCAGGAATATTTTGTGCCTGAATTTGTTTGAACTATATAAACATCCACTCCTTAAAAAATTGGCAACTACTTTGAGCATTTCCCACTTGCGAATAGTCTCTGTCACCGCTGTTTCCACTGATGTTTTCTCTTTGGCACTGTGTTAATACAGATATGAAAGCTCCCAACAAACAAACTGCCAAAACTTCAGCTTTTGTAGTCATGTTTGACAATGATCAGTTAATAAATTA